TAGTGGTGTAGGGTTAAAGCCACAAGAGTGCTTTATGAAACACTGAATGGATATCTAGGCCATTGTGAAAGAGCGTTTTCTTTCATACCAAACTGCAGGTTCTTCACTGCCTACAGATTCTTATGGTCCTTTCAACATTTCTTGTGGTGGTAGCAGTGTATCAGATCTTTCTCTGCAGTGACAACCTTTCCAATTAGCATATTTAACTATTGCCAATTTTTACTTGTGTTTATGATTTTTTAAAAGCCATTCAAAATAGGCTATAAAAATAAAAGCATGCATTTTATTTTGATTGTGTTGTCAGAGCTTTGATCCCTTAAAGTAGCAGGATTTGCTCCCTCTGAATATATGGGGTCCCCCAGGGGTGAAATTATGGGCCAATATGGAGTATCAGTATGAAAGTTGCTGAAGTGGAGCTTTCCATCTTCTGCTTTGAGCCCCCTACCCACCAGAGAGAGAGAGTGTTGGGGTTGCCAGCTCCAGGCTGGGAAATATCTGAGATTTTGGGGGGGTGGAGCCTGAGGACAACAGGGCTTGGGGAGGGGAGGGATTTCAATGGGGCATAATGCCATAGAGTCCACCTTCCAAAGCGGCCATTTTCTCCGGGTGAACTGATCTCTGTTGCCTGGAGATCAGTTGTAATAGTGGGAAATTTCCAGCTATCACCTGGAGGTTGGCAACACAATTGGCAACGCTAGATAGTGCTAGTAAGAAATTTGTTACATTCACCTCAGGTACACCCCCCCCCCCTAATAATCCAGAAAGGCTAATTTGAAGTCAAGTTCAAGAATCTGAAGTGCCTGAAACCATTTCAAACCTGTTTCTGTCCTTGCAAATATGCATTTTGAGTCCTGTGTACAAAAAAATCCACTTGAGGACAGTAACTTGGGAAGCAGCATTGCTTCATTCAAAATGGCCCAAATCTCCCCAAGTTTTCTGTTTATGATAACATTTAGTGTGTCACTAATACAAAAAAACCAAAAATCTTGTGTGATACTTGTCATTTTTGTACTGAACAGAATCTAGAAAAAGGAATGCCCAATTAAATTAGTGGTAGGTAAAGTGTTACGATCTAATAGAGTTTATTTTAACACACCAACCACAGTTTTTATTCCATGACAGGATATCTGCCAATGTGGTTAATTTAAGCTTAAGGTGTAAGGGTCCTTCAAAGATGGATTCCCCATCTTTACGATGGTACATTAAAAGTGAAAACTTTGGCTGGGTGGTGGTGCTAAAAGTACTTTACGTGTATACTTAAAAATGTAATGGGTGAAACAGCCCTAAAAACTGTCAAGCAACTCCATGTTATGTTCAGCATTAAAACGTATGGTTTCCCTTCCTGAACAAGATTTAATTTCCACATCCTGAAAATTCTTGGTTGCAATAACAAGCATATTCTCTGAGTTTGTCTACATGCTGCCATCTGCTTTTATAACTGTTACTGAAGTCCATTTTCACATGATGAGATTTCCTAGATTGGCCAGTTTGATTGTATTTCTATACTCTTGCATACTGCTGACTTGCTTGCTAGCCTCATGTGTTTACCCTTTAACATTCTGTGTTGAAGCTCAAGGAGCTTGTACAAATAGAAGAGGGAAAGCCAGGTGGAAAATATGGTCACGTTAAGTGCCAGGTGTGTGGCTTGCTGCCAGCTGTCTTAATGGCATTGGGGGGGGGGAGAAACAGGTGATCTATAAACAAGAACTTTTTAAAGATAATCTTGCAGCAGCTAAATCTAGTTTATTCACTGTTACTTTCAAGTCTGGCAAAGCAGGGTTGTCAAAAATCTATTTCAGAGGATTCAAATAAGTGTCCATATTAGCACAGACCACTTAGACGTTTTTCAGTTGATTCTGCCTTTAGACCAATTAATTTTATGTTGAAATTATTGTATGGCTTTGTGTGTGGAATAGCCAGGAGATCCCTGGGGACATAGTTTGCCTACCAAAGCTGTAGCTCTTTTTTGGCACCACTTAAGTGCCGAGCTATGCTTATTTTTAGGCTGAGTGCTGTGGCTTGCCTAACGTCACGCAGCTAATTTCAAGAGGGGAAGTGGGGAATCAAACCCGGTTCTCCAGATTAGAGTCCAATGCTCTTAACCACTACAACAAACTGGCTCCCCATTTTATGTGTAGTGCCCAGTTTGGTGTAATGGTTAAGAGTGGAGGCCTCTAATCTGGAGAACTGAGTTCGATTCCCCACTTCCACTTCAAGGCAGCTGGGTGACCTTGGGCCAGTCACAGTTCTCTCAGCCCCCCAAAATAATAAATCTAGTTTGCCACAAAAAGAGCTAGTTTCAGGCCTCCAGACAATCTTTGGATCTCCTGGCTATACTATACCCAACTGCCATATGCTAATTTTATGTTAAAAGTGTATCATGTAGATTGGAAAGGCAGTGGAAGAACTTACCATTTAGCAAATAACTGCTGTTCAATGTTTGGAAGGAAAAGCCATCTCTTTCTTTCTTTCTTTCTTTTTTTAAAAAAATCTCTTTATAGTTAACATACCAGAATCAAAATAGCCTCAAAAAATGTTTCCTCTTAGTCATCCTGATTACAACTGCCTCTTGCATTAAAATTAGCACCACCAATTTAATTAGGTAAACCTTTGGTTAAGTAATCTATTGATTTAAGCTAGTCAAAACTTTCCACTGTATTCAGAAATCAAATCAGGGGGCTCCTCATTTTCTGGTAAGGAATTGTTTGGCGTGCTCCCTATATAGTTAGTAGTTCTAAACAAATTCATAGTATCTCATTGTGGCTTGTGTCCTGTAGGGAGGTTACTCCTGGTTGTTCAAGCAAGCAGGAATTGATATTAAATTATGTTGCTTGGTATCTCCTGCCAATAGAGATTAGTATTTAGATTATTAACTAATATTAAGCTCGGCAGCAGACTCTGATCCCTTATTTTGGCATATAATCTACTATTTTGTCATCTACTATTTATTTTTGTAAATGCCCTAACTGCACCAGTTGGAATCATGGTTTGAGCAGTCCTATCAGATCTGACTACCCAATATTTTTGTTTTAGTTGACATTTCCAGATGTTGATATTTTGACAAATTCTAGGTTTTCTGTGTTGTTAAATGCTCATAATTAATCCAGTTACTATGAAAAGAACTCCACAGTTGTAAGATGAAAAAGAATGCACTGTTTTAATTAAGAAACAAAAATGTGCATTTTTCCTTCTAGATGCTCAGAAGATCATCAATATATATCTTATTTTCAACATGCCCCCTACTGTGGATACTTAAAGCCAGAGACTGGAGCTATGATTGCAGCTTTCTATAAACCTGAGAAAAGCCGGAGGTTTACATAAAAATCAGAAACCTTTAAAACACATACACAACATGGCTCAACACGATCAGTGGTTGTTTTTTTAAAAAAAACCAAAATAATAGTAGTAGCGCTTTTACCTTTAAGAAAGGAAATCTTGGTAGCGGATTGCTAGGCAGCCACAACAATGTTGCCAGGCTTCAAAACTTGGTTTCTGTCAGTAAAAGGCATTGGGACTCTTTCTAGGGCTATTTTGGCCTCTCAGTCCACCCATGCTCCTCTTCCACCTGCTCTGGAGGAAGGACTTATCAGGAGCAGACCCGGCAGTAACGACCAGGCAACTATCTACATGTGATTTCTGTGACTCACACAGACTCAGTGGTTTCTACCAGATGAACTGATGACAGGTAACTTGCCTGGGCCCAGTGCAATTTGGTCAGCCCCACAGGTGACAGACTACTACACAACTCGTTTGGGTGACTTTGCTCCTGCACATTTTTCAACTTCACTGGAGTGGGAGAGGCTGCCAGGGGGAGGGAAGAAGGGAAAACTGTGAACCATGGTGATGTAGTAGTTAGTGTTAGACTAGGATTTGGGTACAATGGAAGCTTGCTGAGTGGCCTTGGGCCACCCACTGTCTCTAAACCTAATCTGCCTCTCACGGTTATTGTGAAGATAAAATGGAGGCCTTGGAGAACAATGTGAACACTGTTACCCATTGGGGTGACAGATGAAGTATAAATGAAATAAAGCTCAAGATGAAAGGTAGGTTGGTTGGTGGGAAGAACCGAAGGAAGCCTGGAAAGGAGAGAAGGTATGGGGGCTGCCAGGAGGGAAAGAAAAAAAAGAGGAAATAGTGCAAGGAAATGTATAAAAGGTAATATAAGGTGTCTCCACTGCAAATCCTTGTGGGTTCCCCAGTGCCTTTTAATTGTACCTAACTTCAAGGAGTAACCTAAAAAGCTGCCCCTAGAAGTGATTTCACCTCTTCCCCCATTTTATTCAACAAATATATGAGAAATGTTTAGAAATTAATTTCTAAACTCACACTTGCCTGGCAAGCCTACCTTCTAATTTTCTGGATGCCTAGCACTTAATAATCCCTATAAACCACTATACTTTATTTAATTTTTAATCCCATGTTTTGTACAAAGTGTTCATACCCTGCCAACAACCCTCTGAGGAGCCTTATGCTGAAATCTGAAGCTAAACCAATCAATACAAGAGGTGCTAGACCTCTGAACTGCACTTCCAAAAGAATAGTTTTAACTGCTCCCTCCCTCCTGAAAAAAGAAAAAAAAAATCCTCCGTGTAGAAAACTAGCATATCAGGCAGAAGGGTGGACTGGCTGCAAATCATCATTAAAAATTACACCCTACATCACGCCAGACCAGAACTCTACCATCTAATTCTGTGCGATGTTTAAAGACAACCGGCAGATGACTGAGCGGTGCAATGAAACAACAACAAAAATCCTCTGCACATGCTCAAAGGCTCTATCACGGTTCAGGTACCGTTGAACCCTGCGTGGCGGCTTCAGCCCAAGAAGCAGGCGCACTAGGCGGCTGTTTAAGCAGGAGGCGCAATTCTTTCCCTCAAGCCTCCACGCAAAAGGACGCGACCCACTTCCCGCCGAAAGCGGGACTGAAAAAACCGATTCTGAGGCGGCGCTTGCTAGGGAGACGGGGGAGGAACCACCGGGCCGAGTTGACGTCACCGGGCCAAAACGGAGGTAAAGGAGAGAGCGAGCGGCCCGAGCCGTGGAAGGCGGGAAGCCCACGAGGTAAGGGAGCTGCGGCTTCTCTCCGCCCAGCTCTGAGGAGGAGGAGGCGGCTTCATCTCCCAAAAAAAAGTTGCATACCCGCGGGGGTAGGGAATGGTGGAGCAGAAGGGGGAAGGGCCGGATGGGATTGCGGGAATGGCTTTCAGCATGCTAGTTAGTAAACATGGATAGGCGGCTTTGAGGAAACTCCGTTTCCCTTGGCAGACAGTAGAAGATCCCTTCAGGCATTCCGCCCTCCTTTCCTTTCTTCAGGTCCTTTCAAGCCCCCCTAGCTAAGGAAGCCCCCTCGTCCCCTCTTTCCCCCTTTATCCTCAGATGCTTGACTTGGGAGCCAAGAGGGCTAGTGATCGCAGTACTGCACTTCTGGTGAGGCTCGGGCGGCTGTCGG